TAATAAACACCAATGACCCAGTGCCACTGGAAGCCATGCATGTCCATGCCATCACGCTGCCTCCACCATGTTTTACAGATGACGTTGTGTGCTTTGGATCATGAGCTGTTCCAAGCCTTCTCCTCACTTTTTTCTTCCTGTCATTCTGGTACAGATTAATCTTAGTTTCATCAGTCCAAAGAAAGCTTTTCCAGAACTAGTCTGGCTTCTTTAGATGTTTTTTTTTTTTTTTTTTTTTACAAAGTCTAATGTGGCTTTTCTATTCTTCAGCCTTATGAATGGTTTGCACCTTGTGGTGAACCCTCTGTATTTGCTCTTGTGAAGTCTTCTTGATTGTAGACTTTGACAATGATACGCCCACCTCCTAGAGAGTGTCCTTCACTTGTCTGGATGTTGTGAATGGGTTTTTCTTTACCATAGAGAAGATCCTGCGATCATCCACTACTGTTGTCTTCTGTGGACGTCCATGACTTTTTATGTTGCTGAGTTCACCAGTGCAATCTTCTTTCCTCAGAATGTACCAAACTTTTGATTTGGCCACTCCTAATGTTTCTGTAATCTCTCTGATGGATTGGTTTCATTTTTGAAGCCTTACAATGGCCTGTTTCACTTGCATGGACAGCTCCTTTGAACGCATGATGTAGGTTCGCAGCAATACATTACAAATGCAAATACCACACTTAGAATCAACTCCAGACCTGCTTAATTGATGAAGAAATAACTAAGGCATACCCCACATCTTGCCATGAGCAGCTTTTGATTCAATTGTCCAATTACTTTTGGTCCTTTGAAAAAGGGGGGATTGGCTACTCTTAGGAGCTCTAACTCCTAAACCCTTCTTCCAATTTGGATGTACATATCCTCAAATTAAACCCAAGAGTGTGCACTTTCAGCCCATATCCATTACATAACTAAAGCTTGAATATGTTTTGGTACATACCTGAAAAAAACTAAAATTGTTCCTGTGCCCAAATATATATGGACCTAACTGTAATGTATAGGTTTGGTGTCAGTGGTAGAGCTACAGAAACACAGGCTTCTAAAGAAAGGGAAAAGAGATGCGGCAATAATAAAAACCACAGCAAAAAAAAAAAAAAAACTATATAAAAAACAAACATGTTGCAGATTACTCAATGTAGCAAAAATAATCAACATATTGAGTCAGTTGGCAAAACAAGAGATAAGCCCCCCGATTGTTATTTTGGGTTATTTTTCCATACCTCCTGACACAAAACCTTAAGACCTGGAGGTTGTGTAGCTTTTAGAAGGTGGATCCATTTTAGTTCCCTTTGTAAATGTTTGTTCTTGAATTAGGGTGAATTTGATCAAGAAACAAAAATTTGACTTTTGGAAATATACCACCATGGACGGTAGTCACATGACGTCCAAGGGGCAGGTCAGCGTTACATATCTACATACATCTGATGTATCTGTATGCACATTTCCAAAATTTCAATTTTGTTTTGCTGACAAAAAACCCCCCACATAGTAACATACACCGCCAAATGTCCTACAGTTCGCATGTTTTGATTGAAAGCGTAGGCACCATATTTGCAATAATTGCATAACCCACATATAAAAAGGTATCCTTCTATTTGCAAGGAACCCCACATGCCTCTCCCTTATACACACTCTGAAATATATAATCCCTAATGGAGGTAGCATGCCTAAATGTAAACAATGGGTTGGCAGGAACAGATTTGTCCACCATGGGATCCATGCTGAGCATGTGCCAATGCTTTTTAACAATTTTTTGGACTTGTTGGTTCAAGAATTGTTATAAAATTCTTAATGGGTCTCGATCTCCTTTACTTTTGTTATTATATAAGAGTTGGTTTCTGTTTTGCATCATTACTAGTTTATATTTTTTTTTTCAAAGCAGTGCGAGAATAACCCTCTCTAGCAGTCTCTGTTGGAGTTTTTTTAGCTTCCATCACAAAGGTAACATCATCAGAGCAATTTCGCTTTACTCTAAGATATTGCCCATATGGGATCGATTGTATTAAAGCCTTCGGGTAGAAGCTTGAAGCATGACATTCCCAGCAGTGGGTTTGCGATATAGACTGCTGCAGAGGGCTCCACATTTCCCCTTATAAATCTCAGCATCAAAAAAATGTGACTGATTTGCTATGTGTCATGGTGAATGTAAGACTTAAATCGCAAATTAAATTTTTTTTGCTGTGGTGTATGTTGTGGTTTTTGCTATTTCCGCATCTCTTCTCTTTCCCCCTTCTTTAGAAGCCTGTGTTGCTTTCCTCCAGGTTATGGGTTGCGCTAGTTGGCTGCCCTGCACGCGCAGGCCCCCGGAATGTGTCTGCCTCAGGGGCCAATGGGTGTCTGGAGCTTAGAAGGTCCAACTGGCAGCTGGCCCAGACAACAACTGATCTAGGTGCAGGAAATTAGGATAACTTCTGCCCCTACTTAATTTGATGATCTACAGCCCTTGTGCACTTCTTTTTGAATATTTACCTGCCAGTATGGATTGCGGACATCTTCTGTATGGGGTGAGTGACAGGGGAACCTATATGGGGTATAGTACATTTAGGAGCTCATTCTTTTGTTCATTGATGGAGTTAGTAGTCCTTGTAGGACTGGTCACATTATTACAATGTATTAGCAACGATTGTGGCTCTACCACTGACACCGAACAAAACACATATTATACAACTTGGCTTACCTCCATATTAATTTTCTTACATTATCTCCAGGTTTCGTCATGTTTTGGAAAAATTTGTACTATCAACCTAAATGCACGGGCGGGTACGACTAGGATTATACAATTAGAAACATTTACTTCACTTGAATATACATCTTCAAGCCATTTATAACGAATACAAATATTTTCTGTCAGTCTCTATTTATTATATTGTATTGGCAGGGGTCGACTACTATAGGCCTCAGTGGCCACCAGGGCACCCCACAGCAGCTCCCTTTGGGGAGTTTTTGTAAAGGGATCTTCAGGGCTAGGAACGACCAGCCGTTTTGTTTTTATCTCAATGGCTTCTACTTGGTTTAAAATGCTCTCTGAATAGTAAGTGGTTTACAGAGTTTGTATATTATGTTAATTTGTATATATACACAATGTTTTGGACCAATGTTAAATGATACTTATGTTATAGAGATTATATATCTGTTTACCTGAGGAAAGAGTGTTTTATCTCTGAACCGCGTTGGATGAATGGAGCTACGTTACAAGTCTATCATTGAGAGCATTGGATTTGCTGTAAAAAGAGATGTTAATTTTCTTCAAGAAAAACCTCTGCTTTATATATGTGTAATATAGTGCTGATAAAAATCCCATTTGGGGTTTTGTATTCTTAACTAGCTAAAAGCTGAGGCATGGTGGCAGCAGGAGTCGTCATCCTGGACTGGCCTACATTTTTTTTTGTTTGTCAGTGTCCAATCATTCTGTAGGTGGCAATATAACCCAAAAAGGTAAGACATCCTGTGTCCCTCAATGAAAGGTATCTTCCCACATCAATCATTCTAGCATTGACTGTATACTGCAGAACTAAACCACATTTACAGAAAATTACTAATCACGTGAACGGTTTAGACTGTTTTTCTTCAGTCAATTAATGCCATGAAAAATAAAACTATTTTCTTCATCTGTCTGGAGACTCATTTCTACGAATTTTAGGGATGTCACATTCATGAACGGTGCCAGGGAAATTTGCATACTGTATGTAGGAGGCCTAACAAGTTGTTTGGACAGAAATACAAATTACTTCGGCAATAACAGCACCCCCTTAGTACAGTAAATGAACAGCTGAGCCAAACACTTCAATATGATGTTTGTGAAGAACTACTTATCCATGCTTCTGAAGTTATAAAGGGAAAGAGTCACACTTACTCAATATTTGTAGTCTCCTTTACATTTTTGTATGTACCATTCTAAGCTAATAATAAAAACGTGGGCATTGCCTTGTTCTAGGTGCAAGCTGTGAGAATTTAGCTGAGACTGTATTTATCTGTACGGCACATATACATGGATACACACTTATGCATTACACGCGTATATGCAGAAAATATATGCGCATCTACTTGTACAATCAAAGAAAAACAAGCCATAGTTTGGCACAGATGATCGCATAGGTTTGGCTAGCTAAAGGAAACAAGATGGAGAAATCCATCAGCCCAAAACGTATATGTATATAACAACTACTGAGTAAAATACTGGATTAGAACTGCTATATTGGGTTTTTACAGGTAATCAGCACCTTTATTTTTTTCTCCACAATAACATGCAGACCAAGCTGTAGAGTAAATATGACAAGAATAGGGACACATCAACACTGGCATGGGGGCTTCAGCAGATGCAGGGACAGCAATTTAAAGTAACCGTGACGTCAAATTTTTTTATTTTTTTTTTTAAAAAGCCACTTGGGGGGAGGAATCTTATTAGCCCAGGGGGCAGTGACTCCAATCTTTGTTCTCTTGAAGAGCTATACCATCTTTTTTCAATCTTTATTATTCAATACACCTTCGAGGTAAGGTGCCTGTACCCTCTGCTATGCCTGCCATTACAACTGACATACTGGCCAGCGGGTGGACCTCCCAGCACAGAGCAGGGGAGACAAGTATCTGTCCAATGTGGCTTTTCCAGAGAGTGAAGACCAAAGTGACTGCCCACTGGACTGTTAGGTAGGACTTTTAGCACAACTGAATGAAGGCAATATGTAAAATTAAAGATTTATATAAACTATTTTCTATTTCTCAAAGCCGCATGTTTTTCTATAGGTTTACATGCCCAGATAGTTGTCCAGCAAAAAAGTGGGGTTGGGACAAACGAAAGTGTGTATAATGGTCTCTTTTTCTTCACATGGTTTAATTCGTAATAAAAAAATAAATAAATAAATAAAAAGCAGATGAGCAGTTTTGAGTACTCCTGCATTTTCAGGCTGAGGTCAGCAATAACCTTGCAAGCATTTCTTTCATACCATTTCTTTTATTTTTTTACAGTTTACACCAGAGATCAACAGTACATAAAACATACTTACTGACTCCTTTGTGAGCATCAACACTTGTAAATTCTATTGTGCCATTGTGACACTTCCTAGGATCCTCTTTATACTCCTTGTGAACACCATCTGGGCAGTAGTATCTATAGGCAAGGCCATAATCCACCAGGTACACCTACAAAGATCAGGCAAAGTTTTGATTATGTGACATCTGACACTAGAGAGAGGAACAGAGCACACCAAAAGAGTAGGAGTTACAGGCAATTAGTGCTTTTAGAACTGTGATTTATTTTTTTTTTTTTCAGTGCATGTCTCCGATTGCCGTTTTTTTATTTTAACCACTTGCCTACCTGGTACTTTTACCCCTTTTCTGCCCATGCCAATTTTCAGCTTTCAGCGCTGTTGCACTTTAAATGCCAATAGCGCGGTCATGCAACACTACCTATATGAATTTTTTATCATTTTTTTCAGACAAATAGAGATTTCTTTTGGTGGTATTTAATCACACTAGTTTTTTTTTAGTTTTTTTTTTTTTTTTTGCACTATAAAATGAAAAAAAAAAAACTCCGAAAAAAAAGAAAGTTTTTTCGTCTCTTGATATAAAATTTTGCAACTAAATCTTTCTACACAAATTTAGGCCAAAATGTATTTGGTTACATTTCTTTGGTGAAAATAACCCAAATCAGTGTTTATTTAGTTGGTAGGAAAGTTATAGAGTCCACAAACTATGGTATATATCTAAAAATCGATAAATCCTGATGTACTAACGGCTGATCTCATTTGAGGCCCAAAACAGCAAGGACAGTACAAATATCCCCCAAATGACCGATATTCTGAAAGTAGTCTTAGAAGCATGGCGAGTTTTTTTGAAGTTGTCATTTTTGGTCATAATTTTGTGGGAAATGAAAAAAAAATTGTTTTTTTTTTTTTACATACTGTAACCAATGCAAGACAGTGTCATCATATAACTAGTGAGGCGTTGAACAGGGACACTGACTTGTGACATTATTATTTTTTTTTTAAATACTAATTTTAATTTTTTCTTTTACTCCTGTGACCAGAGTAATACAGTGTTATCTTAAGTGGTTCTAAAGGCTCAAGGTTTTTTCCCTTCATACTGGGCAGAACCAAAAATTCACAAATTTGAGAGCACGTTGATTTGCTTGTGATTTATGTACATTACATTATATGTAACATATAGTTTATGGTATTTTGCTTTGATAGTGACTGCGCTGATTGTCTTCCACATTTCCAAATGTCACTTCCTCGCAGCCACTGTACATTGCAAGGCAAACCCCAATTCCATCAGAACAGAGGGGTGAGGCTGCAATAAAATCTGTTTTTTACAGTATCTTTACAATACATATAGCTAAAATGTAGAGGATCTCTTTATTCAGAAACATAAGTTTCACTTTCTAACAGGGAGTGCAATATGACAGAACTGAGAATTTTCTGCAAAGTCATTCTTGATTTCTAGCAGCTCAACACACCAGATATAAAATGCTGCTCTCCTTATAGCTGAAGATCTATTAGTATGCAGTCCCCTGTTGTGCTGATACCTGGCCTCATGCCCTTCACCATCAGGGACCTGTGATTTTATTTGCGTTAAAGAAAAAAAAACAAAAAAACACACAAAATGCTTTTATTTCAGTGAACCCGGCATTGCCGTAACATGACAGATGCAAAGCTGAACCTGGGTTAAACTATTTCCACATGCTGGTAGCAGGTGACAACCTCATGTGATGTCAACAGCTAAGTGTGTCTTTTGCCCTCAGTGAAAAAGATTGTCAATAATGTGGTATTATCATGTGTAAACACTGGCATTAATGGCAGTATCGCACACACTTGTGACAATAATGCTTGGAATACTTTTAATTTTTTAAGTTGCTGTAGCTGAAAGCTGAAGTCAAGGCACCAGAACAAACAGTTCATTAGATAAACCAACAGTACAGGAATTAAAAGCTCTGTCATATAAACAAAATTGCTAAATCAGTATGGAAAAAAGTATTATAAAACTAACATTTAAATGGTCTTCCTGCAGCTTATGATGGGGCATGGTTGAAAAGAATCAAGTGGTAATGGCAATGACACTTTACAGAGCAGTCTCTGTAAAACACCAAACAGGTATGACATACGGAGGTTTCTTAACCTCTAAAAAGGGACATGTGTCAAACACAAGGCTAGGTAATGTCTTGTGGCCCTTGGACCGCTCTTGCAGCTGCGGCACTGCCCTTGTCTCTGCCCCCACCTGCAGTCGGCAACAGAGAAAACAAACTCCATCACCAGAATCTTCGCTTCTCTGTGTAGCCATGGAGAGGCTTGTCTCTGCTTCCCACCATCTCAACATAACTCGTACCTCCTCCACTTCTCTGTGTACCCGTGGAGAGGCTGATCTCCAGCCCCCCCCCCCCCCCCCCCCGCAGTTGGCAGCAGAGAGGATGACGGAACCCCTCCTACAGAACCTGCGCCTCTGTGCTGCACCCCCTTGTCTCCGCCTCCATTGGTCTCAGCATTTCCCGCCCTCCTCTGGTCCTCCTCCAGACTCTGCACTGCTTACCAACTCCACCCCCAGCTTCTTCCCAACAGCAGCACAAGGTAATATTGGTAATATTTGTCTGACGATTTAAAATTAAAAAAAATAGTTTTGTTACCAACACTCCTTTTTCAATAAATTGTACAATAGTTGTATACTTAAATATCTGCTTGTCATTTTTTTCCTTCTACTTGCTTGTCATTTGACTTCTACTTTCAGAGCTAATTATTGCTAAAACCAGTAAGCAAATGCAGAGGCAATTATTTAATATGATAAAGAGCACATACTTTTTTATAATCTTACAGATACAACTGGCCATTTGAGGGCAACCATAATGCTGATGCGGCCCGCAATTAAATGGAGTTTGACACCCCTGATCTAAGAAAAGAGGTAAAAGGTACCATTGTCAATGCAGGATTCCTACTCTAGTGTACAACCTGAGTGGCACCATCCAGTGGAAACACCACTGCCATTTTATTGTGGAGGCAAAACTACATGGACAATGACTGAAACTTAATGCTTGCTAAGATCAAGAATGATGGATGCAAGGGACAAATGTCTTCTACTTTCATGCATAAGCCACAATTTTATTTTAATTCACAAAACATTTGAAGATAAAAGTGAAACATCATGCTACTACAGAAAAATGGCACTTCACTTTTGAGAACAGCTGTCTTTACATACCTGATTTGGATTTTTGTGATGAAGGAGAAGATTGGAAGCTTTGATATCTCCATGTACATATTCATGTTCATGTATATACTCCAGAATGTCAATCTACAAAACATGAAAGTTTAAATAGACTAGACTTGTCTAGACAGCTGTAAGTGTAATCAAACGGTATTAGAGACTAAACACACAGGCAAGAAATAAAATTAGTAACCTACGTTACTATATGCATACATACTGTATATACTTATAGCAAGGTCGGGCAAATTTATGTTCAATTTATTAACAAACTGCTCATATCAACCATTTCTACACAGCTTCCCAAACCTGCAAATTTTCTAGAACTCCAACTGACAGTCAACTTTGTAAGAAGCCAAATCAGGGTTTCCAAAAGAATCCAGCAAACTAAATGTCACGTGGTAATCTTGAGACTATATGGCCTAAGTGTGGATATTGCCTTTTGCAAGTACATAATTTTTTTTATATCTTTATGTTAAAAGGGGGATGGATGGGATGGGTGGATACTATTGTAAAATAGAATACCTGGCAGTGATCACAGGAGAGTGAATTTTATCTAAACAGTGGGAATTAACCACTTCAAGTCCGGACACTTTCACTCCCTTCCAGTCCAGGCCAATTTTCAGCTTTCAGTGCTATCACGCTTTGAATGACAATTGCGCGGTCATGCAACACTGTACCCATATGAATTTAGAATTGTTTTGGACAGATAAAACTATTTTGGTGGTATTTATTCACCACTGGGATTCTTATTTTTTTGCTATATAAATGAAAAAGTCCAAACATGTTTTAAAAAAGTGTATTTCTTATAAAATTTTGCAAATAATCTTTCTTCATAAATCTTGGCCAAATTTTATTCAATTATCTTTTCAGAAAAAAAAACAAACAAAAACCCAAAATTAGTTTATAACCAAAAATTATAATTTTTCTAAATTGTTTTACTTTTTTTTTTTAATATGATGTGTTTTTTTTTTTTTTTTGCATACTGTGACACTGTACTACTTGGGGGGGGGGGGGGGAACTATGAAGATTTTTTTTTTTTTTTTTACAATGATTGCTTTTACACCCAAAGAGGCTGTAAAAACAATTTCTTCTCTCTGGTTGCATTCTTGCAGCCATTGAGAAATACTGTGAGCTGTGATTGGTCACAGCTTGTCACATGGTTCAAGGCTGTTGTGAATAGCCTTGCACCATGTGATCTCTGTGATCATTCACAGATTTCACACATAGTAAGCAATGATGTCAGAAGTGACATTTTGCTTACTACTCTTCATGTGATCACATGATCGGCCAATCAGTGATCACATGATCGGCCAATCAGTGATCACATGATCAGGAACTCACACAGAGGTCCCGTACAACTATCGGTGTTCCTCCGGACACAGCGGGCACCGGATTGTGGTGCTGCGCACTCCCAGGGAGCGTGCACAAACAGGGAAGCGGAGAGGACGTTTATAAGCGGCCACCCACCCCTGCACTGCTCCCGTCCGGCTGTTTATATACATGGGCCGGATGGGAAGTGTTTAAAGAAATTGTGGTCATCCAATTAAAAGGTAAAGGTTGTTTGTAAACCTCTGTACAAATGACTCAACGGCTGCAGTAATAAGGAAACAATTAAATAACTACCAGTCTTAACCCTAGCTGTAATACAGTCTTGTGAGGGAACCGTTTCTCATTATCCTCAAAAATCTTCTGTAAAATCCTTCCCAAATCGATCCATCACCATGAACCTGTAGCTGGAAGGGATTAAAATATGCAAATTATTAGTAACCTGTACAGCATTCATTTAAATAACAATGAGGGCTTTGCTTATGAACTCCTTATTACCTGTTTCCACTTTTCTCGTGCAGTCCAGAGCCCCAGTATCTGGGCACACCAAGGTAGTCCAGTTTATGAGAGCTGATCCATTGCTGAACTTAAAAAGAACACACAAACATCAATGGAAAAGTTATACTAGTATCTTTTACCTCGCTCGCTACCCTCACAACACAGAGATACCAACATAGATTACCAGACCTACAGTGCAAGTATGAGTTTGCAGCATTACCTAGTTGGGAGCTACAGATTGCACAGAGCATACATGGAATCTCTGCCCAGTTGTCAAGCTAGGAGAAAAAATATGGCGCTGCCTGTGGCTGTCATTTTGCGCCCTAGGAAAAGGGGGGGGCGGGTGTCTCCATCCACCCAAGAGAAAAGCTTGCCTGTGCACTTTGCAATAAATAGGGAATAACCCATTAACAACCTCTTGAAACCTCCAACACAGCCCCCCCTTCCTTTTCCCCATCATACCTCCAACGCAGTATTTCCCCCACCCCAAAATCAGCACAGCCTTCATTTCCCCATCATACCTCCAACAGCCCCCCCCCCCCCTTCATACCTCCAAACACAGCCGTAACCTCCCTTCCTACCTCCAACACAGCCCCCCCAACCCCTTAATTTCCCTGTCACACTGTCAACCCCGATACCATCATGACCTCCACAGGGTTACACAGCTCCCCCCTTATACCTCCAACACAGCCCCCCTTCCTTTCCCCATTCATACCTCCAACACAACCCCCCCCCCCCCCCCCCCCCCAATTCAATTTTCCCCATACCTCCAACATAGGCCCCCCCCCATTTCCTTTCCCCATCATAACCCCCCTTTTCCCCACCATACATCCAAACACAGCCCCCCCCCCTTTCCCCACCATACCTTCAACACAGCCCTCCCCCTTTCCTCATCATACCTCCAACACAGCCCCCCAACTTTCCCCACCATACCTCCAACACAGCGCCTCCGCCCCCCCCCCCCCCCCCCCCCCCCCCTCCCCCCCTCCCAGGGAGCCCCCCCCTACCCATGATATCTACAACACAGCTCCCCACCATACACCTCCCCTCCAACATAGCCCCCCCCTTTCACCATCAAAACTGCCCCCCCTTCCTAGTTTCTAACAATGCAACATTATAAAGCCTGGTTCACGCCTGCGCTCTTTTAGTTGCAGCACATAGAAACACGTGTCATGAAAATGCACTGATTACAGTGAGTAGCCGTTCATATCTGCTTGCTGCGATACACACTTCTATTTTTGTGGCCCCACTGAAGTCTATGAAAGTGGATGAAACGCATGAAAAAAAACACACTAAAAGAGCATTTAAAGAACATAAACAGAAGGAAAATGCAGGACAGCGGGAAGGATGTGAATGGTGCCTTTGTATCCCAAAACATGGCAGCAGGCTTTAACAATTCCTTGTAACATTTGGGAAGTCCCCAACAGTCACCTGAAACACAGGGGATGGTGTAAAGGTTCCTTTTTACTGTAAAGCAATCTAATACTCCATTATTACATGAAAGCTGTTCTTAAAGGGTTACTAAACCCCGGACCCTGCATTCACTATATCTGCTCTCTCACAGTACACAGAACATGGAAGTACAATTATGTTAGTAAATATAAACTGCTAAATACCTTTTCTCATCAGCAGTATAAAGCAGTCTTGTGACTTCTATCAAGTGTCCAACAGAGCACTGGTTAGAGCTTTTAGGAGGAGTTTTCATTTTGCTCTAGGAGGATGCAGAACCCCTGACCTCTATCTGGACAGTGCTGATTGGCCCTGTACTGATCACATGCACTCTCTCAAGAAAAAAACAAAAAACCTCTAGCAATACACACCAAACTGAGCATGTGCAGAGTGTGCACGATATGTCTTATCAGGAGATAAGAGGGGGACACTGGAAGAAAAAAGGGAGGATCAGAGACATCAGGATCAAACAGCGTTTTTTTTACACAATGCAGAGGATTAACCCCTTACGTTCCACAGTGAGTATAAAGAATTAATTTTAAACGTGAGTCTCTGGTACCATGGATGCCCCTGTAATATGACATCAAGTATGGATAGATCATTTATACCACGTAACTGTCTAATGTATTAAGCTCTGTAAGGTGCAGCCAATTCTTTAAAATCAATATTCTATAGTACCATATAAACAAGAGTCCGCAGGTTAGGTATACATGAAATTTTAAAAGCATGTCATACATAGACTTCTAGTCAGGGGCAGACCCCAGAAAGTCCAAGTTTTACAACATACCCCTCAAAAACTATGCTATAGATACAACTACTAGTTATTTGCTTTATGTAACAAATGTGCTACTTACTCATTTCTGGCTTAGCAGCACGCATGTAGAATTTCAACTCTGAGAAGAGGGGCCCATTATCGCTTGGTTCCTACAATTTAAAAACATATTTTAATTTGTGTCCAAAGCAAGGGTCCAGATTTTTCTCATCTAGTTCTCAGCCCCCTCCATAGTAAATTACAGCTCAGCGGGGTCTCCCAGATAGTGAGGAAAAAAAAAAAGTACAACACCCAAGAGAGATGAAAGCAGGTACCCGATTTAAAAAAAAAAAAAAAAAAAAAAAAAAAAAAAAGAATGAGAATGAATGACTTAAATGAGACCTATACATCCATCCTGTACATTAAAATTTGGAACTGGCAATATTTTATTATCCAGATTCTCAGCTTTATTTTTGGGCGCTTTGACTAATCCTCAAGCCTAAAATTATTTTTTAAGCATTGCTGGGGTGGTAATAGTTCACTAAGGAATGTTTATTTTATTGTGCTCAATGTGTTAGGGCCCTTTCACATGGGTGAACAGTCTAGATCGACTGGTCTGTTTTCCAGAGTTGCTGGACAGTATTTTTGTGTGTATACTCGCAAATCCGCGCACATGCCACACTTCCTTCATTAAAACAGAGCCAGAAGAATTTTTATGCTCCTCTGTGCATACTCGCAAATCCATAAGTGATATACAGCCAATCATTGCGTTTTTTTCTGCCGGAAATATCTGATCCTCATACATCAGTACAGTGTGCAAGAGGCAATGAAGTTTATGTTGTTTACATTGCATAAAGCAAACATAGCAGAAGGTTGATTTTTGCAACTGAAGATAGTAGAGTAGGTATTCCTGCAACAACTGCTTCATCTTGAAAATAAGTTCTAAGGTTTTAAGTTTAGAACACAAAATGAGCAATTACTAAAGTAGGTAGCCATCACTTACTGTTGCTTTTTTTTTTTTTTTTTTTTCCTTACTTCACAGCAGAAAAAAACAAAACAAAAAAAAAAAAAAAACAAAAAACCACGGCTTTAACCATTAGTCGCCCGGCCAATGGCCGTTTGGCGGCCGGCAAAATCCTTCAGCGTTCCGGGTGGATGCCATATGGTGTCCTCCCGGTCATGCACAGTTTGCACGCCTGCAGAGCCGCGCAATCTGTCACCGACCACGTACCTCAGACAGGGCCGATGACAGATCTGAGTACCGGCCATGTTGCTGGTACCATGTGACCTGCTGTGACCAATCACAGCAGGTCACATGACAGTTGTATACAATGGATGGCTTTATTCATGTTATCCATTGTATACTAGTGTGTCTAGCTGTGAATGGTCACAGCGATCACATGCACAAGCTGGGCCAATCACAGCCCAGCTGTGTCATGTGATTAGCCGTGGCCAAAATCACAGCCAAGCACAAAAAAAAAAAAAAAAAAAAAAAAAAGCCCTGAATGAATCGATGTCATTCAGGTAAATGCTTGCCTATAGCAAAGTAATTCTTTGCTATAAGCAAATTGTGTAAAAAAAAAAAAAAAAATACTGATCACTTCCCCAAAGTAGTACAATGTTAATATGGTAACATTGTACTACTTTGGTCATAGTGAAATATGAAAAACAAAATCTTAAAAAAACAAAAAATGTAATAAAAAAAAATTTTTTTTTTTTTTTCCCCCCATACTGTCACCAGTGTCCCTGATCACCGCCATGCCAGTTATATGATGACGCTGTACTGCACTGGTGACAGTATGTTAGAAAAAAAAAAAAATTGTGAAAATAATTTTTTTTATATTTTTTTCATTTTCTGAAAAATTATGACAAAAAAAAAAAAAAAAAAAAAAAAAAAAACAACTTCAAAAAACTCGCCATGCCTCTTATGAAGTACTTTGGACTGTCTACTTTGCAAAAAGGAGTCATTTGGGGGATCTGTACTGTTCTGACATTCTTGGACCTCAAGAAATTAGATTGGCTGTCAGTACTTCAGGACTGATCAATTTTCAGATCTATACCATAGTTTGTGAACTCTATAACTTTCCTACAAACTAAAAAATACATCCTAATTTGGGTTATTTTCACCAAAGACATGCGGCAGAATACATTTTGCCCTAAATTTATGAAGAACAAGTATTTATTTGCAAACTTTTATAACAGAAACTAAGAAAAACATGTTTTATTTTCAAAATTTTCAGTCTTTTTTTGTTAATTTAGCAAAACATAAAAACCCCGGCAGTGATTAAATACCACCAAAAGAAAGCTCTAGTTGTGTGAAGAAAATGATAAAATTTTAGTTTGGGTACAATGTTGTATGACCGTGCAATTGTCATTCAAAGTGTGAGGGCGCTGAAACCTGAAAAATGGCCTGGGAGGGAAGGGGGTAAAAGTGCCCGGTATTGAAATGGTTAAACTCCATCTAAAGACCTTCACTAGGGTGCCTGTTGCGCTGTTTTTAAAAAGTGACAGCTGGTATGGTGAACATCTCCCCGTACTGCTGTCACAGGGTGATGGGGAAATCGGGGCAGATGTTACATGTTCCACCCTAAAATGGGTAGAACATGTTCCCAAAGGTGAACTTATCCTATAGGCTGCATCTTGGTAATGGCAGTTACAAACACAAAAAGCTGAGACAGATAGTGGTATCAATGTACTAATACACAAACAAAATGGCAGCAAGCACAAACCACTTCCTCTGGAGAGGTGGATACAGCTCATTTGTGCCTTTAAGAAGCCATAATTCACAGTTCAGTATGGTCATTTAGGTACCACATGCCCCTCAAACCAACACAACAAGACAGCCATTGCCGCCACTAAGAAAAAGGAAAGTTAAGAGACATGGACAAAAAAACATGACATCCAACAGAAGCTTCCACTCTCTAGGACCTCCATTGGAAGTAAAGTAGGATTTAACTAGAACCCAATCCTGGACAGATAAGGCAGCTCCCCCCCCCCCCCCCCCCCCCCCCCAAGAAAAGAAGCCAATGGAAAATAAGGGAGAGAGGGTCCCTGAGCTAGGAAACCCCATCATGGGAAAAGCCCATGTATGTCTCTTCTCAAGGAACACAACTACTGAGTAGAGGAGGAAATCATCTAGGAGGCCCGTCACGGACACAATGGACTTCAAGAAAAAAAATAAAACATTTTACTAAAATCTTACCACTTTTATGACATATGGAGCATCTGGTCCAACAGTCTTAGCATTTTCATTAGCTGGTTCAGAAAAAAAAAAAAAAAAAAAAAAAAAATGGACATGAAAACAAGTGTATACACATTAAATTACATTGTTTATAAATTGTGAGAATATATATATTTATTTTATAATAGGTCAAATTTCACACGAACCACCTATGGATGTACACATATGTATAATCTGCACCTTTACACTAAAAGGCACACAGGGGTAAGATGAAAACATCTGCCCATGTAGGCAAAAATACACTCGAAATGTCTCGAGCATTTGAATAGACAATGACCAGTAACATGAGCTACTGTATTTCTTCTACTCAGCCCAGTTATCTGTAGCATACTCTATCAGAGAATCAGCCACATGTGGCCACTAAGAGCAGCACAAAGGGGTTTTCCCCACTTTCAGCCAAACGTGGTACACAAGTCAGCAGTTAAATGGTAGTGCCACAAATTGGACTTGTGCTTATTGGCTGTTTTCATTCGGAGATGTGTGGTTTCTTCTTTTCTGGGCGACAGCTTGTTCCTTGAACTCGGACCGATCTTCAGTGTTCAAGCAGAAATCCATCCAAAAATGGCAAGTAAAATAAATAGTCCATTAGAAAATAAAACAAAAAAACCAGCCTTTGCAGCAACATTGACCATCAATCATGAAAGTTTTTCTGCACATTTTTTTCTTCCACTAGATGTCCTCAGACAGATGCCCAGCATCATTAAACCCACTTTCACTGAGCCCAAGTCATTCTGGACTCGTCCAAGCCTGGACAGGGAAAGGAGAAGCAGCACAGTGTTGTGCTAATCTTATTTGACTCGGTTTTCTCTTCCTGTCCCCATGCTTCTTGTCATCACATGACCCGATGTTGCTCCTTGCACTTTTTCCCCTCACACTCCAGCCATGTGGTAGACTCCAAGAGGTCAAATTAAATTGCTTACACAGCTTTTATTTACAAAATACATGTGATGATCTATTAACATTTACAGTTGCAATAATTTGTGACTGAATATCTACTTGGAGTTACGTTTTCACTGACAATCAAGAAAGGTTACATTTTTCTTTAACCACTTCCTGTCCGGACACTTTTACCCCCTTCCTGACCAGGGCAATTTTCAGCTTTTAGCGCTATCACACTTTGAATGACAATTGCGCGGTCATGCAACACTGTACCCAAATGAATTTTTTTATCATTTTTTTGAGATAGATAAAGCTTTATTTTGGTGGTATTTATTCACCACTGGGATTTGTATTTTTTTTGCTATGTAAATGAAATGTCCAAAAATTTTGAAAAAAAGTGTTTTTTTTATAAAATTTTGCAAATAAATAATATTTCATCATAAATCTTAGCTAAAATTTATTCCGTTATCTTTTTAGTAAAAAAAAAAATCCAAATTAGTTTATAAGCAAAAATTATAATTTTTAAACATTTTTATTTTATTTTTTTATTTTTATTTTTTTTTACATACTGTCACCCTAGCAGTACAGTGTCACCATGGTGACACTGTACTACTTGTGAGGGGTGATGAAGATTTTTTTTTTTTTACACAGATTGCTTTTACACCCATATAGGATGTAAAAGCAATCATTTCTCTTTCTCTCTGTCTGCATTCTTGCACTCATTGAGAAGAACTGAGTGAGCTGTGATTGGTCACAGCTTGTCACATGGTACAAAGCTTTTGTGAATAGCCTTGTACCATGTGACCTCTGATCATTCACAGATTTCACACATAGTAAGCAATGATGTCAGAAGTGACATCTTGCTTACTACTTTGCATGTGATCACTGATTGGCCAATCAGTGATCACATGATCGGGACCTCATACAGAGGTCCCGTCCGACGACGGTGTTTCACGGTGTCCGGAGGACACAGCGGGCACCGGATCGCGGTGCTGCGCGCTCCCAGGGAGCGCGCACAAGCAGGGTGCGGGGAGGCCGTTTATAGACGGCCACCCGACCCTGCAGCGCCACCGTCCGGCCGTTTATATACAACGGCCGGTCAGGAAGTGGTTAAATGATAAAGGAAACCCATTTATTTTGCTATTAATATCCAGGTGTCTGCTTCAACGAAGTCTGGAAGGCTAAGGTCTCGTAGAAATGGGAGCAGCTTCTAGAAATACAATGCACCTATCTAATGCATGGTAACTGCAACGCATCAAGCAAAGTAGTTAATTTATGTCACTGCACTTCAGCACACTGGGGTTTATTTACTAAAGCTGGAGGGCTAGTTCACACTAGATGCAGTCCAGGGCGTTTTTTTTTTTTTCTGCATCAAAAACACATGCAGTGTTTTCCATGTATTCCAATGGCCCTAGTTCACACCCGTGCAGTCAGTTTTCGTTGCAGGAAACAAAGTAGAGCATGCTGCATTTTTTCTGCACAGAACCATACTGGAACATAGCAAATTGTATCAAAACTGCACCGGAACTCCGTGTGTGGTGTGAACTGTAAGCAAAAACATATCCGGAATGCATCCAGAGTGCGTTTTTGTAGTGTGAACTGGCCCGGAGAGTGCAAAATCAGGCAAACTGCTGCATAGAAGCCAATTAGCTTCTAAACTCAGTTTGTTCAATTATCCGATTCCTGACCACCCTATAGCAGAACTACTGCTACAGGGCGGAAAGCCCTTGCAAAATCATGAATATATATGTGAATTAGTATTCCCGGGTAGGGGGCGTGCGCTCCCCACTCACACCACCATTGGTGGCTACTGCTGTCAATCACCAGGTCCCGGCCAGAAAATCCTCTGGAGGGTGAACCTTTTTAAACGGAGAGTGCCCAAGAAATGGCCAGCATCACCCCTTTAATTTTGTCATTCATTTTGTCTAACCCATTGTCAGACCCTACGCTGGTGCAGTGGGTCCTGGGTTCCTCCTGGTGCACAACAATGCCCAGCCTCATGTGGCGAAAGTATGCAGGCAGTTCCTGGAGGATGGAGGAATTGATACCATTGAATGGCCCCCACGCTCGCCTGACCTAAATCCAATAGAACACCTCTGGGATATCATGTTTCGGTCCATCCGATGACGCCAGGTTGCACCTCAGACTGTCCAGGAGCTTAGTGATGCCCTGGTCCAGATCGGGGAGGAAATAAACTAGGACACCATCTGTCGTCTCATTAGGAGCATGCCCCGATGTGGTCAGGCATGCATACAAGCACGTGGGGGTCATACAAACTACAGAGGACCATTCTGAGTTGCTGCAATGAAATTTCAGCAAAATGGACTAGCCTGCTGCATCATTTTTTCACTTTGATTTTCAGGGTGTCTTTGAATTCAGTTCTCTGTAGGTTGATTTTCATTTCCATCAAACGATGGTGTATCCTTACATTCTTAACACATTACCCAATCCGTATCAGAGATATCCAGCATTATATTTTCCCCATTGAGATCTGATGTGTTTTCAAAGTGTTGCTTTAATTTTTTTGAGCAGTGTATTTGGTTGCTTGCTGTTGAAACAGGCAACCAACCTGCTAGGCTCAAACATCCCCCCCCCAATTTCTTCTGCTTACTAAAGTTGTGCTTGAAGTCTTGTAACTTCTCAGGCTAGCTGTGTAAGCAACTTCTGCAGTGATGCTCCATGAATCTTACGTCTTAGGGAAAAAAAAAACAAAAAACTGTAGCTTTGTGTAGTGATCCATATGACAGAAAACCGCAGAAGGGTTACAGGTCCCCGATGCCACAAATATAGGTCACAAGAGACCCTGTGTGTTCAAATTGGAAATCACTGTATTTGTGACGATGTAGTGGCTATAAAAGACATGAGATCTGATTAGGTCCTAATCGTTTTTATTTTAACACCTTCATGACTGGGAATCTTCTGCCTTTGCAGCCAAAGCCATTCTGGTCAGAAGGAGTTAGATTTTTTATTTTTTTTCCTTAGATGTTAAAAAGACATTTAACACAAGCTGGAAGAACGGTAACATTTTCATCACCAATTTAAAATCATAAAATGGCATAGGGGGTAGGTTAGAACATCTGTCAATTGTTTGCATGCTACGTCCCTATTGGTGATATTTCACTCACTGGCTTTGTGGTCACCAGCAAAAGAAGCAATGCAAGATTATCTCCAATGTAAACACAAAAGTCCTAAGCTGCCCCACTATCAAAAAAACAAAGGTTTTGGCTGGAGACAAGAATGTTCTATTGCAGAACCTAAGTTTAATAGGATTGCCAAATCATCTTGGAGTGTGTGTCCAGCTCTAGAAGCCTCTGAAAGTGGACTAATAATAATAAAAAAAAATAAAAAATTACCAAGATAAAGACGTCCAAAACCACCCTGTCCAATGGGTAGTCCCAATTTCCACTGCTTTTTGGCTGAATCGGTGAGTACCTCCCCAGGTGGGAACTCCTCTGCCAATTTCCGCTTAGCTGGAGCTTTTTTGGCACCTGATCCCGATCCTGCTGTTTTCTTTGGAGGCATTTTTCTAGGTCTAGCAAGAAAGAAAAGTGATTATATTATTTTACCCTTTAACACAATGCCACACTTTTTCCATTCCCATACAGCTATGAAGGTTTCCCTGCGTTCTTTATAGTAGATTTATATCACAATAAAAATCATTGCAACTGTTTACAGAGTTGCTCTAATATACTGTATGTTACAGTTGTATCAGCAATCAGCACAAAGAAAAGCATCCTAAATTCAAAGGACACACCACACACTGCAAACCTATTTTTCATTTCAGAACAGAGGTGTGTAAAAACTTAGAAAGCACACACAGGCAACATTATTCTTCTATAAATAACATAATAGCTCACAATGTCATCATCATACACAAACAAGTGTGTGAATACCTGTACTGACTGCATACAGTATAGCAATTGATACACAGAAAAAAAAAAAAATCACATTTAAGGCTACGTTCACACTAGCCTTGTGTGCAGGCGGCAAAGAGGCGTTTGGTAAGCGTTTTTACCACTTCCCAAACGCCTCTGCCAATTCTGCACATTACAGCACATGGTGCTGTTCTAACGGGAGCGTTTGCGTCGCGGCAAACAGACGCCTCTGGACGAGTCAGGAGGCTTTGAAGCCTCCTATTCTCGTCTATGGTGCCGCTCCGCAAACGCCCGGCCGGCGTTTGCGGTGTGGTTGCGGGGCGTTTTTGGAGCGGTAACACCACTCAAACTGCATTATAGGCATTTGTGGGGCGTTATTAACGCTCGGCAAACGCCTAGCAACCGCCGCTAAACCGCGCATGCGGCGTTTGCGGAGCATTTGCCGAGCGTTAATAACGCTCCGCAAACGCCGGACCAACGCTTGCCAAACGCTATAGGGGCGTTTGGCAAGCGTTGGCAAAACAGCCTAGTGTGAACGAGCCCTTAGAGCCATTAGATTGATGGGATACTGACACTTGAGGGTGGTCAGCGATATTGACACCTGAGGGCTCATGAGCATTTTAAAGTGGTTCTGAAGGCAGTTTTTTTTTGTTTGTTTTTTTAACCGTAAGCATTAGGGAAGAGAACCTTATGCATGCAGATTCCCCCCCAAGCCCCGCCTATACTTACCAATCTGGATCCATCTCTGTGCATGAGAGTAGAGGCATTCTTCCTCCTCATTGGCTCAGAGACAGCAGTGGGAGACACTGGTTCCCACTGCTGTCCACCACAGCCAGTGAGAAGGGTGCAGGAGGTGGGATCGAGTCCTGCTGTTTGTACCAAAAGACACAGACAGCAGACTCAGGAGCGATTCCACACAAGTGCCCACATAGCAAGTGTCTAGCTATGAGGGTACTCAGCAGGTGGAAGGAGCCGGGAGCACCTGGCAAGGAACCCAAAAAGGAGGAGGATTGGAGCTGCTCTGTGCAAAACCACTGCACAGAGCAAGCATGACATGTTATTTTAAAGAAAAAAAATTACTTTAACCACTTGCCCTCCAGAGGATTTACCCCCCTTCCTGACCAGGCCATTTTTGCGATACGGCACTTTAACTGACAGTTGTGCAGTCATGCAACGCTGTGCATAGATGAAATTGATGTCCCACAAAATAGAGCTTTCTTTTGGTGGCTTCCGGTTTTTTTTTTTAATATACAGTTGTGCTCAAAAGGTTACACACCCTGGCAGAAAATTGTGAAATTTTGGCATTGATATTGAAAATATGACTGATCATGCCAAAAAAATGCTCTTTTATTGAAGGATGATGATCATATGAAGCCATTTGCTATCACATAACTGTTTGGCTCCTTTTTAAATCATAATAACAGAAGTCACCCAAATGGCCCGGATCAAAAGTTTCCCTCCCCTGGAATGTTTGGCCTTGGTGCAGACACACGGTGACACACACGGGTTAAAATGCCAATTAGAGGTTAATGTCCCACATCTGTGGCTTTTTAAATTGCAATTAGTGTCAGTGTATAAATAGTCAATGAGTTTGTTAGCTCTTACATGGAAGCACTGACTAGGCTAGATACTGATGGGGATCAGATCTCAGCCTGTGTTTACATGGGGATCAGAAAACAACTGTCAAAAGTCCTGCGTAACAAGGTAATGGAACTTTATAAAGATGGAAAAGGACATAAAAAGATGTCCAAAGCCTTGAATATGCCAATCAGTACTGTTAAATCACCTACTAAGAAGTGGAATGTTCGGGGATCTCGATACCAAGACAAGGTCAGGTAGACCAAGAAAGATTGCAGCCATAACTGACAGAAGAATTGTCCGGGATTCAAAGAAAAACCCACAGGCAACCTCAAAAGAAAAAACAGGCTGTGAAGCTGTACCGAAGAAATCAAAAAGTAAAAAATGCTGCCCACTATCTTAATCTGTCACTAGACCCAGTGAAAATCCCAGTACTTCAGAGTATGAACAGATGTGCGCATTCCCCCAAGCTTCCCTCAGAATGCAGCCTTTGGTGAATAAGTGGATAATCACCTGATCCAAAAGGTTGTAACACAGGAGGCAAGAGAGGTGCTCCAACGGGTCACTTCAGTTAAAAAAAAAAAAAAAAAAAACATCAAAACATCCAGACTTATAGCAACTGAAAGGGGTTTTCCGGTCACAGCATACACTTTAATTTTTATAATATCAGCATTGTAATAGCAACACGAACAATTATTTCTGGCAATCCAAAATAAGCTTACTTTAATGTAATGTAATGGGCACCATCATAACTGACGGACACGTACATCAATAGTGACCCTAATTCAGTGATCAGTGCCAATACTATACACTGTCACTGTACTAATGACACTGGCTGGGAAGGGGTTATCAATGGGAGATCAAAGGGTTAACTGTGTACCTAGTAAGTGTAATGTGTGCTGCTTTTACTAATGACTGATCTGCATACAGAGTCTAGTGTGTGTGTGTCAGCCATAAATCATTGGTCAGGACCTGCTGACAAAAATCCAACCACAGCGCATGTTAGCAGGGGGTGCGCACCACAAACCCGGAAGCAGGCTTGCAACATTTTTATATGTTGCTGAGCCTGCAGCTGCCACCCTGTGACAGTAATTCTACTGTTACAGGTCGCCAAGTGCTTAATAGTAGGCTAGAAATAATTGAAGTTCAATGTGGAAATGAATATAATGATTTTATATTTTGACCAGATACACTTGGAAGTTATATGCAAATCTTGACTTTTCCCCATAAAGCCACAAAGGCTATTGGGACTTGTAGTTTTCATTCACAGAATTCTGTAAACGAATGACATGGGTGGGCAAAGCCTTGCACGGCCGCGTCTTTTTTGAATTGCAACAGCAGACACAGAGAGAAGATCCCCTATTTGAGGGCCCATTCAGATACACAGTGCACACAGATTACAGTAATCGTTTTCCAGTTTTCAGAGCTTTTGTAAATCGCTTCGCTCCTCATCAGGAGAAGCGATCTACACGGTTTCCTAAACAGGCACTCAGAGGAGAGCGGTCTTCTCTGAGAATGCCCGTGAACTCAGCCGCAGTAATTTACCGCTGCTTGATAACTACGTGGCAACTGGCCCATTGTAGCTTTACTGCTACAGGGGTGCCGCCTTGTGCACAATCACGAATATATACAAACACACGATTCTGCTTTTCCGGGTAGGGGGCACTAACATCAGCCGACCCGTGCTGTCATTGGCTCGGCACGGCCAGCGATTCATGACTCGGCGATCGGTGGAGCAACTGACAGGAGAGAGATCTGTGAATGTAAACACAGATCTCCCTCCTTTAGTTGTGGATGTACCGGTTTTCATCTCCCTCCTAAGCAGGGAATAAAAACCAGTGTATCCTGTAGTAAAACACCACACAGTAGACACTCATAACACATAGCTAACCCTTTGATCGCCCTAGAACAGTGATGGCAAACCTTGTAGAGACAGAGTGCCCAAACTGCAACCCAAAACCCACTTATTTTATTTGCAAAGTGCAAACACTGCAATTAAATCTGAATACTGAGGTTTATTTTAGAAAAAAACTACTTATACATTAACATCTTTTGTCTTAAAAGACAAAAAACACAACAGAGCGTCGTTCCACAATTTCCACCAGCACAAAAGGGCAATGTTCCATTGACTACCAGCTTTTGGCCTAATATATTTTAGCACCTCAAGAAATATGATGAGACAGTAAAAGCTGTGTAAATTCATGTATCCATACCATAGTTTGTAGACGCTAGAACTTTTACACAAACCAATGAACCACTTGCCTACCAGGTACTTATACCCCCTTATTTACCAGGCCAATTTTCAGCTTTCAGCGCTGCCGCATTTTGATTGACAATTGCGCGGTCATGCAACATTGTACCCATATGAAATTTTGATCATTTTTTTTCTCACAAATAGAGCTTTCTTTTGGTGGTATTTAATCGCCACTGGGCGATTTACTTTTTGCGCTATAAATAAAAAAAGTGCAAAAAATTTGAAAAAAAAAAAGTTTTTGTTTCTATTATAAAATTTTTCAAACAGGTATTTTTTCTCCTTCACTGATGTGCGTTGATGAGGCAGCACTGATCGGCACTGATAGGCGGCACTGATGAGGTGGCACAGATAGGCGGCACTGATAGACAGCACTAATGAGGTGTCACGGATAGGCAGCACTAATACGTGACACTGATGATGGGTACTGATAGACGGCACTGACTGGCATCACTGCTGGGCACTGACTGGCGGCACTGACTGGCACAACCCCTGGGCACTGACTGGTGGCACTGACTGGCAGCACTGCTGGGCTGCACAGGTGGGTGGGCACAGGTGGGTGCACTGCTGGGCACAGGTGGGCAGAGCTAGTGGGCGCACTGCTGGGCACAGGTGGGCGGAACTTGCGGGTAGCACTGCTGGGCACCGATCATCAGGGCACTGATCATCAGTGCCCTGATGATCGGTGCCGATCCCCGCTCTGACAACTGCCGGTCCTCGGCAGTACTTTCCTCACGATCTGACAGCGTGAGGAAAGTGCAGCCGAGAACCGGCACTTGCATTTCCCTCTGATCAGCGTGTCATTGGACACCGCTGAT